CCTGAACTCTATAATATCCTTGCCTCCCTCCCTTTAGTTTATGAGTACAACTTTTTCTCATGTTCCCTACCCATATGTCTTTGCATGTTATTTCGTACCAATATCGCTGCACTTGCGCATTTCCAATCCTTTTCATTCTTCCCTTCGGCTCCTGTCGTCACCAAGTGATTTGCATCCAGATCCTTGATTACCCTTGCACTTTCTTCGATCCATGTCCTGACAATCTTTCTCCAAACTATTTGTGGTTCGTTTGCCAACTCCCATGCGAATATTACGGATCTTCCTTGTATAATTTCCCGTTCAAGGTGTTTCTCCGTGTGAGGACATGTGATGCTGGTAAAGTGACTGGCGGCGCAGGGTAGATGGAAGGATCGGAATAGAAGCGAGACGCGAAGGGCTCAAAAGCTGTGAAGTCGGGTATAGAATGGGGGATCGCACCAAGATGCGCATTGTTGCAAAGCCGCCAGACCATTCATTGCCGGAAGTTTGAGAGACTCTTGAGTTGGGTAAGTGGAGATGAAAAAGTTAGGGCAAATATAGGAAAACGGGAAGAGAACGAGAAAAGAGATGATTATCTCGCCTAATGAAAACATCATAATGCATTGGTTAAGTATAGAAAGTGACAATATACGAACCATTGTAGCGGTCATGTCGAACTTGCTCAATTGATCCAAACCTGAATACACAAGCACATAATAATCATTATAAAAATTCCGCCTTTCCGTTTACACTCTCATCATACACTTTCGGTCCCAAAGCCGCGGTTTCATTCTGAACGGTTCTTCCTTTGCTTCCGGCCATGATTCTCATATTATGATCAATTTCTTCAAATCTTGCTATTTCCTGTCGACATGGACAGATTCATCGCTTGCCAATAGTTGGCGCCGACGAGAAAGTATGATTTATCTTTCCTGTGAATGTGTTAATGAAGCCCTGATGAATGATGGAAAAGACATTTTGAGCTTATATTCAAATGTCGATCACGGGAATTCTTATTCTTGGAGATCAACACAATACATTTCTTATTCAAACGATGTTGACATCAGGACTGTTAATTGACAACTTAGTTCAATCCTCGGAAAGTGAAGATTAATACTTAAGACTTGAATGGATTTCTTGGTGGGAAATCACCAACATAGGGCCAACTCAAATTGACAACGTCCATTACGCTCGTCGTTACAATGATAAGATAATGCTGTTATGCCTTGGAAACAACAAAGAATGTACACAAACACTTGCGAGTGAGTTTGCTAGAATATACTCACTTCCGACACACAAGCACGATAGTAATAGCAACAACTTCAAAAGATATTCCAA